TCATTAAACTCATTTAAAAGATTTCTATTATCTTATATAAACTTCTTTTTTTCTAAATCAAAGAATAAATATTTTTTATAGTCCCAGTAAGAATATATATTTTTTAATTATATTTTATTTCTTTTTATCTTTTTCATCTTTTTTTTTTGTCAATAAATGTTTTTGAATACAGTTTTTCTTATAATGTTTTCCTATCTTATAACTTTGTTTTGATGTTTAATCCAATTTAAGATCTAAACTAATTTAATTAGTGAAATCAAAATAAAGTTAAAACTAATTTAAGAGCTAAACATAAACTTGTCTACTTATAAACAGTAAAACCTAAAATGTATAGATATAATTTTGTCTACTCTTCAGCTAGACAAAAGAAAAAAGCTCTTAGACTAGTATATTTTCTTTGATTACTTTGGTAAGTTTTTCTTCTAGATAAGTTTTTATTACCACAAATCATCACCTGCCCCTGACTAAAATCATATTTTTTTGTTTTTAGGCACCGCCAAAAAAAATGCAGAAAACCTTAGATAACATGCGAGTTAAGGATGAAACATTTGTTGATATTGAGGATGAAGAAATATTGCAAGACACAATGACAGACGAAATGGCATCTTATTTTAAAGGTGAACAAGTACCTAAAGTTTTATTCACAACTTGTAATCGACCTAAATGTCATGTAAGTGTTTCTAGTTTTGTTACATAAGTATTCCTACACATTTTGTCATGTAAGTGTTCTTAGTTTTGTTGTAAGGGTTCCTACACATAAATTAAAATATAATGTTTTTTATTTTAGTTACAATGAAAGTTACTTTTGAAAGAAAAAATTATACTTTCACAAGAGCCATTAATTGCTCCCATAAACCGTTTAAAAGTTGCTCAAAACCCTTAAACATCAGGTGGTTTCCTAATTTTCAATTAGGAAACTATCTGATGTAATTAATATTACATTTAAAAAATTTTTAAATGTAATATTAATTTATAACATAGAACGCGTTTAGGGGGTGCCGTCAGACATTTTCAAAAAATGTTGTTTTATGAACCAATATATACCAGCTGCATTCGACAGTTACGGAGTTCCACCATCAGTTACAGACCAAAGTTGAACATCCATAGTCTGAAAAGTCTTAGAGTATTCATGATTGTATCATGAAGTATTGAACAACACAAAATCTAATATCAAAATCATTATTTTTTTTTTAGCATGTGATAACCAATGTGATGTATACAGATTTTGCCATAGTATCACAAATACCCACTTAGATGTTTTTTACACAAACTACAAGCTTATGGTGTTAATGACACCATGCTGTATTGGATTGAAAATGGGTTAACTGGTTGGCTGCAGAGATTAGTATAAGACTAATTAACATCTGAGTGGGTCCCAATAATTCAGGCCAACTACTTTTATAGTTCACTAGTTTTTGTCTTGTTAAAAGTTTTCCAGATATCAAAGTACATCATACTAAATTTATGCTGATCATGGTTAAAATGTCTGAGTTATCAAATTAATGCAAGTTGTTACCTTTAAATTGCTGCTTGTTGCTACCCTTCTTCAAGCTGACATATATAAAACTGTTGACTGGTTGCACAACTAGCAGACTAGTTGTCAGAGTCAGACAAGCGTGGGAGCTACATCAGGTCCAACCAGGAGGCTGAATAAGTACTAATTTCATAAGTATGAAATGACATGTGTGACGCAGTTGCAAAAAACTGGCATAAGTGAGAAATGGTATATGTGCCAATTGGCATAAGTGTGTTAAAAGAATTTGTAAACATTGACATAAGTGTGAACTGGCGTAAGTGCAAATCAGTTGCAAAAACTGACTCCCATAAGTGCGCTAATAAAATTGTCAAACATTTGCATAAGTGCTATTTAACTTTAGTGTGAACTGGCATAAGTGTGAAACAGTATGCCAATATGCACATATACCAGTGCCCACTTATGCCAGTTTTTTCAATTGCTTTGCACTTATGCTATTTTGTACTTATGAAATTCGCACTTATTTAATCTCCCGGTTGTTCCTGCTGTTCATGCATGTTATTTTGTCTCAACCGTTTTCTAGTTATTTAACTTTCTTTTTTGCTTTCTGTTAACTACCAACTTATAATACTGATTACTGCTTTTTTGAAAGTAAATTTGCTATAAAAAACATGCTTAATTGTACAGTTTTGCCTTAAAAAAAAAGTGTACCTATATTAGTATATATAAAGTAAGAATGTATGTATATTAGGGTGCTCTAGAAATGTATAGTGAAATTTTTTTTCCCTTTAAATCTTGCTCCCTGTTGATTTTCCCATTCTTTAATCTATTTTAGAATAAGTAAACAAATTTCAAGCAGTTTAGGAGTGTTTAAGCCTTGCTCCCAAAAAATTAATAGTTTGAAATTTTTTTACGTAAATTTAGGTTATGTTACGTTTACATACATTACTAATAAATATATAAAAATAATTTATAAATGGAAAGAATTTTATGTTCTGCTTGGCAAAAAATTTTTTGGTCCAACATCCACTCCTGATACTCCTGAGTTCAAAGAATTTAAGAAATCTTGGGAAACCATTAAAGATCGATCAAAATTTAAAATTTGACATATCACTGATCGTTGTCTTAAACAGCAGAAAGACAAAGTTGTTAATTTTTTGCAGCATATGTTGACTTCAGCTGACGGTGACAGCTTGCCTCATGATGATTACAGAGAATGTGCAGAACTCATGCTAATACTTTTGGGAGAAATGCTTTCTTGTGGGGTGCACTGGCTAAAACCTGGTGCAAACCATCATGCCTGCTGGATGGAAACTGTTATATATAGTGCTGAGATGTATGCCTTTGTTGATCAGCTGAGTTATGATCAAAATAAAATGGAGAAACGGCGTCATATTTGCATATTTAATGCACTCTTCTATGTAATGGCGTGACAAGCCACCCCTTTTGCAGCTAATGCACCATCAAATGATCTCTAATTGTACCAATATCTTCATTTTATAAAGAAAACTGACCCAGAGGTTGGTGAAGTGACCATTTTTGCTCTGAACAGACATCTGTGGTATCTGACTGAAGAAACTGCTACTTTTTCTCTTTTTTCAAGTTTGTCAAAATTAGAAAAAAACAAATAGCCAGACAACTTTTCAAAGTAAAGAAAGGCATTCCACTGGATAAAGGAGTACCAGTTTTTCCAGTTGGTTTCATCCACAAAAAGATTACATTTGATTGGCAAAAAATCTTGGCTCCTGTTCAACCTACTCGGAATTGAATCTCCCTGGTTACACTTGCTGCAAGCACAGTCGGAAACAAGTAGTAATTTTCAAGAAGTAGCTATGTCTATTTGTCATGCAAAAGTTGTTAATGATCTTGCTAAAAGAGCCATAAAACTCATCACAGACTGTTCAAACACTTAAACTAAAGATGAAATATAGAAACAATATTTGTTACAGTTTATTGAAAAACACAGACACAAAGTACACAAAGATTTTAAAAAAGGAACCCTAAAAAAACATTTTTTTTCTGATACATTGGTACTAATTTAGCTTATTTAAATCTTATAAAATAACCTTACTGAACTTTTTTCATTATGTTCATTGTTTAAATGAACATATTAACAGTTTTTATAAATTTTGAAAAAAATATTTTGTTATATTTTCAATATTACAATATTTTCATAGTATTTTCAATGTTAAATAATATGAGAAACATTTTCTTTGTGGTGGCAAGACTTACTGTTGTTTCTAAATTTTAAAGTTTGATTTTTCTTGTATTTTATGTTAAAAAGAATAGGTAAATATCCAGTGAGCTAAAAAATTTTGACTAAAAATTTTTCAGATATATATAAAGAGAGTTAGTTTTATTTAGTATATAACTATTTTCATAATAAAGGATTAAATTTGAGTTAGGAAAATGACAGAAGAGAATTCTAAAACATTGTTGCGCTAGGAAAAAAGCTAAATAAATAAAAGTTTTTTAAGGCATGAATGGATAGACTCAATAAAAGGGTGCCACTTCAATGAATGGGTCATGCGAGATTAAGTTTTGGTTGATGGAACAAGAGATGATTGCTCGTTTAAGCAGCAACCATAAAAACGCTTGTAAAAAAAAAGAAATGCAATTTTACAACAGTAAGACTCATGCTTGGCAGCTAGAGCTGGTCCATCTAATTTAACAGAACATTTTTTAGTCTTACCTAGAAGAGAAGAGACAGCAATAGAAAGACCAGCTAAAATATGGTAACCATATTCCATACTTAGGCGAATATGAGATTTGAAAATGTAAATGCAGGTGCTAACTTTACAATGGATTATATAAATGTTTTCCTTGTGATGTCTGTAATAAATGATTATCTAGAAAACCCAATGTCAGATACAGTAATAGTGTTCCTATTCATCAATATAAGAAGATCAAAAATATTACATAAGTTATTAGCAATAAAAAACTGATTTCTTTTAGAATTTTATTTACAAGATACTGTAAGCCCCAAGCTTTCACAAAAATAAGATCTAATTCAAAATCATCTGCCTGTTTTAAGCAATTAAAAAGTGATGACGTTTTATCAAGATGCATAATTGCCTCATCAGTAAATAAAACAACTTAAAATGTAAAATGATGACAGGAAGATCATTAATGTAGATAAGAAATAATTCAGGACCAAGGATGGAACCTTGAGATCCCTAAGAACCCCAGAAGTTTCAAAAAATGAAAAAGCTGTGCCCTTTTAGATCAAGTTTTAATACTGTGGCTAGAAATGAAAGATTTAATATACTCAAAGGCTTTCCCAAATATATGACACTAGATAAAATATATTGAAAAGGCTAGACTTTATTAAAAGTTTTGATATGTCAAGAGCAAAAGCCCTTCCCTTGCCACCTCTATCTAATGCACAATAAAACCTTTTGGTTATAACATTTATTAAGTCAGCTGTAGAACAAGAGAAATGAAATCGGAATTGATTGTCAGAGAGTAAGTTATAAGATGTAAGTTATATACCAATGTTAGCAATTTCTTTTTGCGCACTTTTGCCAGTATGCACTTGTGGCAGTTTTTGCAACTGCTTCGCATTTATGATAGCTCTTATTTATGTCGATTCACATTTATGCCAATGTTTGGAAATTCTTTTAGCGCACTTATCCCAGATTGCACTTATGCCATTCCACACATATGAAATTTGCACTTATTCTGTTGCCCCGTTCCAACAACATTTACAATTTATTTTTAGATTATGTTTAAACAAGAATGAGTATAAATAGAAGGATCAATTAAATCTGTAGAAGGATAAATAAGAGATTTATAGAGCTATAGAATGGAGTTAGGAATAAAAAAATATGAGTACCATGGTGTCTTCGAAGAGATATTGCATTCAGAACAGCTGCTTTTTCAAAGCAATTAAAATCTCATAACTTTTGTTGACCAAAGTATATGATAGTATCATCTTTTTATGGTTGTATCATTTTTGCATTATTTTTCTAAACAATTGAAATCTATAACATTTTCAACCTAAGTATATGGTTGTAATATCTAGCGAAAAAAGTTGCTTAAAGGTTAAGATTATTGGAAGATCATTAATGTAGATGAGAAATAACACAGGAGTAAAGATTATCCAGCATTCATCATCCAAAGCAGGAAACAATGTAATACAGGTTTAAATCTATGCCAGCCTATTAATAAAATAAAAAGTTCAAGGCTGTCCTACAAAAATTTTCAGCTTACCCCTTAAGTTTTTGCAAAGGAAGTTTTCTAAAAGGCAGTAGCCGGATGTTAACATTATCCTAAGACAAATATTATTTTTTTTTTTTTATTTTACTTCACCTCCTCAAGGCCGAAAAGGCAACTACAGACGAGGAGGCTACTTATTTTGTGGCTATAACCCTCTCTCAACTCTATAACTCCGAAACACAAACCTTGACAAACAAGGCCGCTGCGCGGAGAAACGAGTTGAGCGCGGTACTACCAGGGACGTGGTGGGGATCGAACTCGGACCCACTCGTTAATGAAGCGAGCGCTCTACCACTACACCACTACCGCATTTAAATTTATCAAGACACCATCTCTAGCATAAACTCAATCAAGAACTTCAAGTCAGGGTGTATTTCAAGAGAGTGTTTTGAGAGAGTTGATTCCATTAATCCTCATATACAGTTACAAATACCATATAGTATTTGTAAAAAAAATTTTATATTTTTAATATTTGCCTTCATTAAAACACAGAAAAAGGTGGGTTGATTTAATCCAAATGTTCAAATTAGTAAAACTAGTTGGCGAAATAAATTTGCATATCCAAATTAAATATTTTAGTTTTAATGGTCAAGCAAGAGGTCATAAATTAAAAATGCATAAGGAGTCAATAAGAACACAAAATAACTACACATTTAACACAATCAGACAAAATAATTTCACTAATAGAGTTATAAATGACTGGAATGTACTAACACAAGAAATCATTGAGTCAACAAACGTAAATCTCGTAAATGTGATAAATGCTTTAAATTTTAATCTCAATGTTTTATATTGTTTTTAATCCTAGCTAAATTTTTTGGTTGTTTTTTGTTGTTTATTTGACAGAAATTCTATGTAACTTCAATTTCAACTCTTATAAGTTTCAGCGCCATTTCTATAAATTCTATAAATAAAACTTGTAAGATTTTTTTATTTCTAAAATCAATCTTTTATATAAACAAAAACCATCAGGGTGTTAGCCAGACTTATAGCACCGCGTTTAAGTACTACCTGGTACTACCAGGGATGTGGTGGGGATTTAGCTCAGAACCTTTTGCTTATAAGTAAGCACTCTACTACTACACCACTACCGCATATGGTATTATATTGATAAATGCTATATGGTATTGGTGTAGTAGTAGAGTGGTGTGCATGGTTATATAATAAGTCCGCATGGTTATATGATAAATACCATATGGTATTTATCATATAATACCATATGGTGTTCTCTACTTTGTTTGATATATTAGAAAGTAAACAAGAACAAAAGACAATTGTTTGCAGTTATAAGGAATGAATTATTAAATTTATATGACACTAGATAAAATATATTGAAAAGGCTAGACTTTATTAAAAGACTTTATTGAAACTTTGATCTATTGCGTACATCACTTTTTAAAAGATTTAAATGAAAAATTAACTTTCTTTTTTAGTCAAAACTTGCCTTCTCTGTTTTGTTGTAGGCCAAATAGTCTTCATAATATACCCCACGATTTACAGGTTTGATAATATATTCAAGTGCACTTATTTCCTAAGAGTTTTAGACAGGATGTCATTGATTTTTTTGTTTATTTCCAAAATCTTTTAAACAAACAAAAATCTAAGAGTACAAGATTTTCTTGTTTTTATTTCTAAGATCTTTTAAACAAACGAAAAAAATCAATAGTATCATATATTTAAACTCTTAGGAAATAAAACCCGCTTGAATAAATTTTTCTGAGTGAAAAAACTGCAAGTTTGTTTTATAGTAGAATTTTCATGCATGTCACTCTAAAGTAAAAGTAGGAGTTAATATTAGGGTGCATCAAATGCTCCATCCTTTCAAAAATAGATGTACCTGTTTTTAAAACATTCTACTGATTGTCACAAGCAAATCTAGCTAAATTTTTTTTGTAAGTGTAGCTAGATATAGGGATGGGGGGGGAAGGCACTTAAGTCTAAAATTTGCAATGAGACCCTAAACTCCACACACAAAAAATATTTTAAGTGCATGTCATATTGCGTCTCAGTGAAATTTTATAAAAACTTCAAAAATAATCATCTCTTTTTATTAAAAACATCAAAAACAAAATTTAACTATGAAAAATTACACTTTTAAAAATTAAAATAATTTTTTCATAAATAAATTATTTTGTTAAAATTTTTATCAAGTTTTGCTTTATTTGAGAACAACATGACATACATTTGAAACACTTTTTTGTTTGGCGTTAAGGGTCTTATTGCAAATTTCAGACTTGAGGTAAATCTAAATTAAAACTAAATCTAGTTACATTTTGAAAAAATTTTACAAAAAAGCTTGTGAAAACTAATAGAAAGTTTTAGGAATAAATCAATGTCTGTTTTTAAAAGTATGGGGTGTTTGATGCACTCATATATATATATATATATATATATATATATATATATATATATATATATATATATATATATATATATATATATATATATAAATATATATATATATATATATATATACATATACATATACATATACATGTACATATATATATATATATATATATATATATATATATATATATATACATATACATATACATATACATATACATATACATATACATGTACATATATATATATATATATATATATATATATATATATATATATATATATATATATATATATATATATATATATATATATATACACACACACACACAGTGAGAACAGAATTTAATCGTAAAAAGTAATTTTTCCATTTTATTTTGCTAAAACTTGTTTTTAACATGAATAATATTGATAATATTTGAAACATTTTTTTTTTTTAATTTATTATGACTAATACTTATTTATAATTTTATAGTAAATATATAAGAAAATGTGTTTACTATACAATTTCTGCTTTTTTTCTCAAACAGGTATTAAATTGTATGCACATAAATTAATTGTACAAAACTATTTTATTGGTAATTTGTTATGAAAATGAATGTTCATAATTTTTTTAATTTATAAAACATCAATTTTATTATTGACTTTGTATTTCTAGAACATTATTTTTAGCAATTAATAAAATTTTCGAAGAAAAAGACATTAAAAACTCTGTTTATTGTACGGTATGGCACCCAAAGGTAAATATTTAAATACTAATCAACGAAAACTTGTTATAGACTTGATTAAACAAGGAAATACTTATAGAAAAGTTGAAGAACTTACAAATATTCCATTTACAACAGTAGGAGCCATTGTAAAGAAATATCAACAATATGAAACTTTTGAAATTCATACTGGACGAGGGCGAAAACGGAAGACAAGTTCAAGAGACGATAGAGAAATTTTAAGAATGATAAAAAAAATCGGTTTGAAACTGCAAAAAATATAGCAAATCATTTGAAACACTTAACAGGAAACACTATCTAACTTACATCAATTAGAAATTGCATTCATAAAGCAGGGTTCAGTGGATGTATAGCACGTAAAAAACCATTTTTAACAAAAAATCATATGAAGAGAAGAACTTTGCAAAAAAGTATTATTTAATGCCTGTATCATTTTGGAAAAAAGTTTTTTGGTCTGATGAATCCAAGTTTAACTTAAAAAAATCTGATGGTGCACAAAGAGTTTGGCAAAAGAGGGGTGAAGCTTTTCATTTAAGTTGCACACAAGGAACAGTTAAACATGACGGTGGAAGTGTAATGTTATGGGGTTGTATGGCATGGAATGGTGTTGGTAAATTTGAGTTTATTGATGAAACTATGAATGCTGATTTGTATAAAAATATATTGAAACGAAGTTTAAAATCTTCTGCTAAAAAGCTTAGATTGGGAAATACTTTTTTGTTTCAACAAGACAATGATCCAAAACACACTGCTAAAAAAACTAAAAGCTTTCTCAATGAAAATGGCATAAACGTTTTAGAATGGCAGAGCCCTGATTTGAATCCAATAGAGCATTTATGGACTTGATTAGATAAAAAATTAGGTACTAGATCATTTATAAAAAAAGAAGATTTGAAGAAAGCTGTTGTTAAATCATGGTCTAACATCAACAATAATCAAATTAAGTGTCTAGTAGAATCAATGCCAAAACGCTTGTTAGATGTAATTAAAGCAAAAGGAGGACCAACTAAATATTAAAGTATATTATTAAAATATAAAAACTTGAAACTGTTTCTCAGTTATTTTAATAAACTGGTATTTTTTCTTAGCTTTAACCTATAACGCTTTTTTTGTACAATTATTTTATGTGCTTGTGTTTTTATCTCTTTCTTCATTTTAGAATTCCTAATCAGGTAATTTAAGTACTGAAATAAAAATTTTACTTTTTTTTTTGAAGGTCTTTTAACAAATAAAAAATTAGAGAAAAAAAAAGTCTTTATAATTAGTGCATGTTACAATATTTTATTCAAAGGTAATAATTTTATTGAAAAATTACTTTGTACGATTAAATTCTGTTCTCACTGTGTGTATGTATATATATATATATATATATATATATATATATATATATATATATATATATATATATATATATATATATATATATATATATATATATATATATATATACATACACACACAGGGCCTTTTCCAGGAAAAAAATTTGGGTGGTGGTTTTACAATAAAATAATGCTTCTAAGCAAATTCAATTAATGATCAATTAAATAGTTCAAGTTTTTGTTAGAAATAAAGAGTTTGCAACAAGTTCTAACTAAACTATTTAAAAGTTCCTTTTTTTTTTCTTGTAATCATTTTTTTACAAACTTTAAATCACTTGTTACTAAATTTTATATATGTTAATTCTTTATTAAATTCTATACTATGATACTATAATGATACTATTGTTGCTTTGTGAAAAATATTTATAACGTGAAAAAAATTCATTTATAAACTATTTATTCTAATTAAATTATATTTTTGTTTCAAATAAATTGGTAATGAGTAATTTAAAAAACACATATAAACTAAATGTTTAGTATAGTTTTGTTTTTTATACATTTTTTTTTTTTACATTTTAGGAAACGCTTAACTTTATAGAAGACTTAGTTAAAATAGTTCCTAACTCAGAATATAGAAATCGCAAAGGAATAGACCTGAAGAAAATCATTCCACAGGCTGTTGAAAGAGGTTTTACTGATCTTGTCATAATCAATGAAGATCAAAAAAAAGCCAGTATCTTATTCATTAGTTTTTAAGCAATATGATAATTGTGTACAAATTTATATTAGTTCCTATAGTTTGACATCTAAAATTAAGTCTGTGGTAAAAACCGGCTTTTAACTACTCTTTGACATATATCAAGACAAAATTACAGTTTATGTTAAACCATTAAGTTTAATTTGGTAACTAATTAAATTTTTTTTAAATTTGTAAAAGCACAAATAATAAGCGATAATAGAATGTTTTAATTTTTCTTTTTATATATAGTTTTTTTAACAGTTAATTTTTTTTAAAGGAATACAAAAAACATACTGGAAAAGATTCTTAAAAAAAAAAGTGCTCAATCTTTTTAATTGACTTTCATTCTGCTTTCTTGTGAACACAACTGTTGTTCATAATTATTATATTAATTTATATGTTAGTGTGATAATTTCCCATAAAATGTTAGATAAATATAAAGAATAAAAATTTCAGTGAATTGCGTTAGATATACTCTGAAGACATTTAAAACAATAGGTGACATCTAAAGCCATGCAGGATCAGAAAAGTTAAAAAAAACTACAGAATGCGAAAATAGTATTGTATTTTGTCACAAGTCAATCCGATGTTAAGTTATCATGAACTCATCAATGCATTCAACGAAAACCATGAAAAAAGTTACTCATTAAATACGGTTAGAAACATTTTACTGAGGAAAAAATTGGTGTCTATTCAACTGTTATAAAACTGTTGATGGCCAGAGATTGGCTCACAAGATTTAGGTACTGTAAGGAGAAAATTTGGTGGTCTTTAGAGAAGTGGCAGCAAGTAATTTTTAGTGTTGAAAGTAACCTTGAAGGAAATAGAAAAAGCAAAGTTCTTGTTAAAAGATTTAAATCTAAAAAGTATAGTAATCGCTTTTTTGTACTGAGGTTGCTAAGTGGTGGCGACAGTGTTGGTATTTGGGACTGCTTTAATTTTAATGGAGTAGGTGTGTGTAATATTTATACAGTTCAAATCAACCAACCTACATATATAAAGATGTTAGAGAACTGCATGGTTCCACAAGTGGACATGCTGTTTGATTGAAACCAATGGTAGCAATTTCAACAAGATTTATCGCCTGCCCCCTCAACTCGTACTGTAAAAGCATGGATGAAAGAAAATAAAATAGCTTAAATAGCCTGGACAGCTCTATCACTAGATTTAAATCCAATCAAATCTATTTGGGGCTTGAATGAGCAAAGAAATAGTCAAGATGCAAATACAAACCTTAAATAGTCTAAAGTAAGAAATAGATACTATTTGGAGAAGAGTTCCAAACGAAATCTGCAACAATCTTGTAAAATCGTTGGGAAAAAGATGTGCTGCTTGCAAAAAAGCTCATGGGGATATTTCAAATACTACATTATGTTATTTTTGTTGCTTTAATTTTTTATATATTGCAGTTTTTTATTGATATTTTCTCTTATTGTTTTTGATAACCTTTTTATATACAATTTTATGTTTTAGTATGCCATCCAATATGCAAGATTTATTTTTCAATATCTTCTATAGTTTTTATTTATATACACACATACTCTCGAGTCCTTAATACAAGGGTAGGGGGGGATGATTTTAGTTCAGATCTAATAAAATGGGGGGGGGGGGGTAATAAAAGCAGGAAATGGGATGTTTTTTATATTACAATCAAATTTTTTTTATTTTTATTTTAGTTTATTAATCCAAATTAATATCCAAAATATTTTTTACAAAACGTGCATTTTTTTTTTTACAAAACATGCATAAAACTATATAATTCTAGCTTGGCTTGTGGTCAAATGCACATTTTCTCACAGCTGTTTTATAGTATTTTCAATAGGATTTAATATGCTGATATAAGTTACTGCTGATAATCTTGACTTATGTAAAATAAATTTTCCACAAGTCGAGATTTACTTGGACTGCGATTTTTAAAGTGTGGGGGTGAAGGGAGGGGGTCCTAATAAGCTTGGGGTGGGTGAGAAGATTTTCATAAAATTAATAAACGTCCCCCCCCCCCCTTCCTCCTTTTATTAAGGATTCAAAAGTACACACATGAATTAGTAAAAACACTTATCTATTTTTTTCTTCAACAACTTGTTTTTCCGTTAGTAGGTTCATCAGGAAGATAAAGCTATTTCCTGATTTGGGGTGAGCAAAACTGGATATTTGGTCCAGTTTGTTAAAGCCAAATTGATACCCGATTTTTCAGATAGTTAAAAATACCCGATTTTGCGGATATCCAATTTTGCGATTTGCCATTTAAATCTAATCTTAAACCAGATTTATTCATATCTAAAACTAGTTATACAAACAGGAGGTTCTTCTGCATATTAACATGCTTTCAGAACCCACAACCACAGCTTATTTACACAGTTGGCAATTTAAAAATAACATTTAAGTATTTCACCACCTGGATGTATAAAAAACATTTCAGAGATTTCATGGTGCCTTTTATTTTTTTCTTAGCCAAAAATTAAAAAAAAAAAACTTGTTGCACTTTACTCAAAAATATTTATAAACATTAAGGAAGTAAAAGTATATAAAATAATTTAGTAGACATACACATAAATAAATAATTTAGCAGTCATACGCATAAATATAATTTTGTGATGGAGTTTTAATAAAAGTAAAAATTTCTTTAAACAAAGATAAAACACAAGAGCATTTTTTAAACAAATTACTTTTTAAACAAAATATTCTTTAAACTTTTATTTAGTATTTACATATAACTTGATTAATTTTAAATTATTTAAAAATATATATAAACAATATTCTAAAGTTGTAAAAAACATTCTTTAAAAAACATTTCTCTAAAGAGATTTATTTATATCTTACCTTCCTAAGTTTATTTGGCATTAATGTTTTGAATGTTTCCAATAAAATATAGTTTACATACGATGTAACAAAATAAAGTTTACATAGGAGGCACAATTTTCAGAGAAAAGACAAAAATATTAGCCTAAGGACTATCACAAGCAAAAGCATAAAACAAATCCCCATTAGCTATAATATAGTAAGAAGTGTGATAATATGGTGAATCTAGTGTAGAAAAAATAATGTATTTATGTTGTTTTTTTTTTTGTTTTGTTTTGTTTTTTTATATATTTTAATAAAATGGAAAACAAATTTCATAATTGATATATTGTATTTGTTTAATAATTTCTAATTTATTTTCATACTGACTTGATAAAATTTTTGTTAATTGTTTTGAGGCATAAAAGCAAGTGAAAATTTTGACAAAATATTCAAAATTCCTCAACTTCAGAAAAATTCACCAAAAAATTTTATTAACAACAACTTTGTTTTAATTTGCTTAATTACCCCAGAGGAAGTTGTTTTGTTGTTTCACAAGATAAAATAATTTATTTAAAAAAAAAAAACAACTGCAAATGGCAAAAATGTAGCAGATATTACTAATTAGATAAATTATTTAAAAATTATATAACAATTTGAAAATTTTAAATTATTAAAAAGTATATAACCTTTAAAAGTATGTATTAGACAAGAATACATATTAGATGTTGGCATAATAGACCACTATTGTTTTTTATTTTCCTTTCATAAAAAAGATAAATGTCAATTTTTTTCAAGCAATTGCGAAACAAGTTTTAAAAATTTTTAATTACAGTTTTTCTTTATAAATGGCATCTATAAAGAATTGTTTTGTAACTTTATAAAATCTATTAGTTAATATCATAAACACCTCATTCACTTTGCAATACTGTAAACTCACAAACCATTATGGAAATCTTTTTTATTGCAACATTTACTTTATTATTGGCAATTTTTAAGAAAATTTTTTTTTATATTCTGAATTATATCTCTTTTAATGTTTTGACAAAAAAAATGTTTTTTTACCATAGTTTTATATTTATAGTTTTGTTCCCCATGAACTCACTATGCAGTGGTTAATTGCCTCCTAGGTAGTTCTTGGAGATAAAAGATAGTTGCTTGACATCCAAGAGCCAAGCTCACACATTGAGGTGGGCTATTGGAGTTAATTGGTTTCGGGAAAGGGGGCACCATGTAATGTTCATAAATAGGTTTCCTGTAAATTTTGTTGGTTTTTTTTACATTTTTTTTATATTTCTTGACAATTTTAAAGATGGTTTAATCATTTCTCATTTACCTAATGGTCCAACTGCTCATTTCAAATTATCTTCCGTGCGAAAGATTCGAGATATAAAGGTTTAAAAATTTACTTATACTTTAAATTTTAGGTATCTTATTATTTTCGTTTATTTATTTTTAAAGTTTGAATTTCTTCCACTTTCATTTACTCTTTCCTTTAACTGTTAAAAATATTGATAGATTTTATCTTTAGCAAAAGAATTTATTCTATATATATACTTTATAAAACAATACTGCAAAATAAAAAATCAATATAAACCCATCATGTAATTATTAGTAATAACAAGCCTTGAAATAATATTATTTTAGGAGATGCAATTGCCTATAATTACTTGATGATTCTCTAATATTATCAATTAAACAATTTTTTGTTAAGTTTTTCAATTTTGATTTAATTTAAATTTTTCAACAAAGTTAATAGAAATGTGCCTGTTAAGTTGAAGTTTCTTAGCAACCTGATGAAAGAGTGTAAATTGTATTGTTAAAGTTGTCATTGCGACCAAAGTATTTGCAAGAAAGAGTCACAGCTTTGCTTTATAAGAAAATGTGAGCGAACGTGAAACTTATATCATACGTACGTAAACTTCATGTTATGTAATGTTAAAACATACTTAAACGTATATCAAGTTTTACAGTTTGACTTTTATTATACACTTTAATAAACATTTTTTAAAATTGCTATAAATTCTAAAAACAAAATAAAATTGGGGGATATTTGTTGCAAATGTGTCATTGAGAAACTTACCTTATTTTAGTTTTGCATTTCAAGTTTCTTTACAACTAAGTTGAGTGCAACAACATGATTTCATATAGAATATAAAATCTATAGAACTATAAATTTTTTTTGATTTGCATTTTAAATAACAAAAATTAAAAAAAAAGCAAGCTTTTTTTTTTAAATAATCAAATGAAGATATCCACAAGACAAAAAAATATGTGTGAAGCAAATTTTTTAGTCGATTAGCATGCGCAGATAAAACATTTCTATTAAAATTAACAGAAATGTTTTATCTGTGCATGCTTATCGACAATAAAATTTGCTTTGCGCGAATATTTTTTGTCTTGTGGAAATTTGCCTTAAAACTTGCCACGCAGAAATCTTTTTTAAAACAAAAAGGGTATTATAAAGTATGTATCATATAAAAACATAATTAAAAATTCTAATTTTATACTTAAATTAAATTATTTTGTTGAATTAATTACTTTTAAAAATAATTAAAAGTTAAAACTATTTAATATCATTATAATAAGGAAATTTAGAGTTTTACAGCTATTTTACCACGCCCCCGTTAAACATTCTAAACCGAGTGCGCAACAACAACAGAATTTAGATAACTATCAAAATAGTATAATACTCCATTATTTTTTGGCTTTATACACCTTTATATAATTTATGGATCGTCCATAATTTATGCAACGCTAAATTTCACTAATGAACAAAACAAAAAAGATCAAAATTTTCCCTTGCAGAGTCATACGTTAAATAAAAAATCTATATAGCTCATTAAGTTTAATGAAAATTGCTATTTAAAAGAATTAAAGATCTTCTTTTTTAAAAATAAATTTAGCGTCGCATAATTTATAGACAATTCTTTAGCCTTTTATAGTCTATAGTTTTTAATGGCCCAAGATCTTCTTAGTGCTGCTATTTGGATAGCGTTACATACAAACGTCTGTAAGTGTAAATGTCTTTAGCATATTTTGAGTTTGCAGGCAGTGTATGGAACAATCGGGTATAACAAATTTATAAAAATAAGAAAAGTTTTAAATTTTATTTTAACTATTAGTAATTTTTTTTTTGCTAAATTATTGTTGTTTTTGCTAGAAATATTGCTTTAAATACAGTAAGATTGAAAAATTTCAATCTTGCTGTATTTGCCTTTAATTCTCCAAGACGACACTTATGATAGTGCACTAAATCACTGAGCTATCATTGATATGCGGTTAAGGAAAAACAAACGCTCAAAAAGGTGCGCATGTTAATTTTTTTGTTCTTAAAACAATTTTTTTAAATGAGTTAATTTACGTAAAAATATTATAGAAAACAAATAATAGATATAGAAATGATCTGTGTGGAATAAATAAGTATAGAACTGGTAGATTTGGTAAAGACCCTTATTTTATGAGTTGGAAAGCTACAATATATATATATATATAAAAAAAATTATATAAAAAGTCAGTTTGGAATTTCGTACAAAGAACTGTATTTTTACAGGTCAGATCAGCTAGTGAGAGTTTAGTATTAGTATTTTGTAGTAATTAAGTATTTTGTAGTAATTAAGTATTGTACATATATGGTATTATAATGGTAGATGATAGTGAGTTTTGAAAAAATTTTATTAGTATAAGGAATCCTCGGAATTAGGGTTGGCATTCGACAATGCCGACCTAACTGCCGCCCTGAAAGTGTTTGAGGTTGGCAAAAAATTGCCGACCTCATTTCTGTGTTTTATAGTCAGACCTTTGTATCAAATAATTTTTGTCAATCTGATGCCGACCTCAAAAAGATTAAGGTTGGCAAATTATTGTCGACCTCATTTTTCCTGATTCTGAGGGTTGGTATAAGTATATTAAGTGAGACGAGTTTCATATTTTTATTTTACAAATTTTTATTTGTTAGACTTTTTGTACAGCCTAGAACACATGTGTCTAGAACACATTTCTGTTAAAGCTTTTAACAAAATTTTGGAATTCTATTTTATATTATTGAATTTATTTAACAAGTGTTTCTGAAGATGAATCCAGATAAAACTCTCTGACAATCATAATCTTCTTGTTCTACTGCTTTTTATATGCTATAATCAAATAATTATACAGTATGTGAGATAAAAACAGTATAGCTAAAGTTGTTTATTTTTTTTACAAAGTCTGGCGTACAACAACAATTTTTCTGACATTTTTACTTCTATATTATCTTTACTAATGATACAACAATATGTTTGAGTCAAATGATATCATATGATATGACATATATTTGACTCAAATAATATATATGATAACTAACTCATTCTCCTACATTATATTCTTAAATAATAACCGACTCATTCTCCTATATTATGTTTTTTTATCTATAAATGAATACTCATTCTACCACATATGTCCTCTTAAACCATTTTTTAAATTCTGACCATATATTAAATAGGGCAATATTAATTTAATTTAATTTTTATCACATTTGAGCCAAAGTTTGAATCAAAATTTTAAAAATTTTAATAATTTTCTATTATTTGGGTGAAAAATAGGGGAATTTCAATTTTGATAATATTTTTGTAAAATGTTTTTGTAAAATGTTAATGTTTAGCTATAGGTAAATGGGTTTTATAATTACATTTTTATTAGGAATGTACTGGAATTTCGTTCCGGCCGGAATTCGTGATTTTTAGATAATTCTGATTCCGGACGGAATTAAATATTGTTTGGCCGTAATGCCGGAGTTTATTTCAACTTTTATTATATAAGACAAGTGACACAGACAGTGTAAATTAAATCAAAAAATCATTGTCCTACAGAGCAATGAAGAACTGTAGGTAAACCTAGGTAAAAAATACAAAATTTTAAGCAATTAAAAAGTATAGGATGCCTAATAAAGAAAGTATTTCAATTTTAATCAAAAGAAATAATTTTAATTATAAATATTATGCAGGTTAAAACTTTCATTAAATAAAATTATAAGAAATAAATAAAAACATCATTTTAGACTTAAATGATACAAGAATCAAATTAATGAAATAGTTATTATGTAGGCTCTATGCTGATGTGCAGGCTTTCACTTTCAGTTTTAAAGGTAAAAAATTACATGAGTCGTCCATAAAATACATAAGCTTATTTCAACATCCCTCCCTCCCCCCCTCTTTCAATGCCTTTTGTCATACGCTTTTTTGAGTATCCCTTACCTCCCTAAAAGTACCACGCTTTTAACCTACCTTACATTTTATGATATTTTATTTCTCCTTACTTTTATAATTGTTCCAGGTCTCCAACTCATATACACTATTTGCAGACCCCTTTTTCCCAATAGAGCATACATACCTTAAGGATGATTCTTAAATATTATTTTGGTTCCAGTAGAAATTCAAAATTTCCAATCTGGTACACCCCTAATTTTTATTAAAAAATGTTTTTAAATAAAGGTTAACTTTAAAAAGTTTTAGATTATTATACAAATTAAAATCTTATGAATTAACAAGAAACCATAAAATACAATTAATAAAATTATCTTTTATAAATATGAAAGACAAAATTATTATTAATCCCCAGGATTCATAGACCAGGAATGTGTAAAAAGGGTTAGGGCTCACCACCACTTCTTGTCAATTTTTGATGATTTTGTTATAGTTGTACGGTCAAGATATATTATGATTACTATTATGATTACATAAAAGGCTTTTTTTAAACAAAGTTTATACCAAAGTTTTATTAAATTAAACTAAGAGGCTATGATAGACTTTCATTTCATTTTTCCTCCCTTTTAACTACTAAAATTATTGATAGACTGTATCTTTAGTTGTTTTTTGATCACAGATATTATCTTTCGATTTTGCTATTGTGTTTGTATAAAACCATCTTATTTATACAGCAAAACTGACTCAGCTGCCTCAGTTGCTAATTTGAGCATCAAGGTTTATGTTTGCGGAACATTTAAAGGTCTCGCATCAGTGGAGCTACATTCACTTCCAGCCCTGACTGCTTATATGTCAGTGGCAAATAACCTTTGTTCTGAGTTATCAGATCTTAAAAATGTGATAAGTGTATACTTAAGATTAGTCCACCATTCTTCACTTTTATTTTTAGATAAGTTTAATAGTCTTTTATATATCCTATAATCTTATAATCTTGCTTCTTCCAGAGTGGAAATACCTTTAAAAGATAAGCAGAACGATGTTTAATTTCATGATATACTGTAATCTCAAAAAACATTAGAAAACTTGTAAAAACATTAAGTAAACTTGTGTCACCCAAGTTGCAAGCTTGCAAACCTTAAGTTCTCTGCATTCTCGGGCTTCTTTTTGTTCATATAGAGAAGCCACTATCTCATGACACAAGTAAGCTATTGACTG